ACCAACCGGCTGCCAGGAGGAGGAGGAGGAGGGGGGAGGGGGAGGAGGAGCGGGAGGGAGGAGGGGGCGGGAGCGGCCGAGGGAAGAGCGGCCGCTGGGAACTTCGCGGCGGAGACAATGGAAGCGCCGGAGGGAGGCGCGCGGAGCCCTGGGAACAGCCGCGCCGAGTCCGCAGGTTCGAATCCTCCCCGTTCACGCGGAGGGGGGAAAGCGCGAAGGGGGCGGGGGGAGACTGCTTTTTGCAACGGATTCGGCCCTTTTCCAAGGCGAGGACCAGCCCGGCCCCTTTTCCCAACCTCTGGATCGGATCCCGAGCCCCCCCCCCCCAATCCCACCCCAGCTTCCTTTTTGCAATTGCACGGAAAGCGGAAGGAGCCGCCCGGAGAGGGAGAAGCGCGGGGATTCCGTGGCTGGGGCGCGGGCCGGGCAGGGACAAAAGCCGGAGGAGGAGGAGGCGGCGGCGTGGGAACCCAGGGTAATCCGGACCGGGCGCCTTTTGTTCGGGGCTCCTTGCAAGGGTTGCAGCGGGGCTGGAGGGGGGGATCGTTGTGGGGGGGGGGTCGGGGAAGGCGTGGTTGCAACGTCGGGGCCGCCGGGCATTGCAAGGGAGCCGCCGTGGGGAGGGAGGGGGCGGTCGGAGGGTCTTCCTGAACGGGGGAGCAGGCCGTCGGGGGTCCCGGGCGCTGCTCCGAGGGGCGAGACCCACGCGGGGGAGGCGCCCTGCCTGGCTCTGCCCTGCCCAGAGGAGACCCCCGGGCCTCGGCGCCCCGCTCTCCGCCCGGGGGAGCCCTTCCCTGGACTGGCCTCTGAAATAGGGGAGGGGTCTCGCCCCCTTGGGGTCCCTTTGCCCCTTGGGCATCAGGGCCAGGTTGCAAAGCAGCTAGGGGTGGGTGTGTGCTGCGCGGGGCCTGGCACGGGCTTGGAAGGGCTGGGCCTGGGGGCTTTGCACGTGTGAACGGCCTGCAAGGCAACCTGAGTGTGTCCCGGGTTAGCAGCCACTCGGGGTGATGCCAGGGAAGCCCTTGTTGGCTTCCAGAGACCGGTGGCTCCTCCTCCCTCCTGCGGGGGCTCTTCCACACTCTCCCGGGACAACAAGCCAGGATTTGCTTTAACCCCCCNGTTGAAGTCCACAAGTCTAAAAAAAATTGAAACCCCTGTGTCAGTGCCTCACCAGCCATAAACCTCACCGCACATCACTGCTTTGGACTGATGGAGTTGTTGGCCTGTGGGAGAAACATTTTTGGCCAGGGCTGTTGACATTCCTAATAAAGGAATCTTTTGAGTTCACATCAGAGGGTTTGTCGCGTTTGGGGAACTGGGTCAGAACAATTTTAGTCACTTTGCCGTTACTGACACAAACCACCTTCCATGTTTGACTTATATGCAAAGTATAATAGACATTTGTCTATGGAGATTCTCAGTCATCCAAGGCATGGTTGTCCCAAATGTGGTTAAAGAATTTTTTCTGGTTAAGGAAAGTCCAGTTGCCTCTTGAAAAAGCATCTTTGGGATCATGGACATTTGTGAAAATGGCCTTTTAAAAAAGTAGCCTTCCACTGTGATTATGGGAATTACCTGCCACTGGTGGTGCAGCATATCCCTTCTTCTTTGAAGATGACTTGAAAAATGAACCAAATGAACTTGAGGCGAAAAACATTCCATGACCTGATATGGGAGCTGTAGACATTCCAAAATAAAACATCACAGGACAACTTTTGCAATAAAAGCTGTTAATAGCCCAAAATTAATGTTTCCTTCCTTCTGTGTCTTTCCAATCCTCCATGAACTCTGGATAGTTTAGATCAGTACAATTTCTCAACTTTGACAACTTTTAAGATATTTAAAACAATTATTCCCCTTTAATAATTTAAATAATACAGCCAAAAGATGGACAGAGGTAGATGCAAGCATTTTGTATTGACTCATCAGTATCAAACTTACAATCACATGTTTAAAATCAGCATAAAATGGGTTTTGGTTCTTACCTGATACACGCATTCTCTGTGACTTGGAGACAGCAGTCAAACTGGGTTGGTCTGTCCAGTAACCAATTGGACTGAGTCTACACTTGTGATGTCATCGAGCCCTGATGACTCCTCCCAGTTTAGACGAAATAGACTGTAGACTCAAGTGAGAATTGTGAAACAAAAAAATAACTCTGAAATGCATACTCTCTTTTCCGCACAAAAAGTTTAGTTCAGAGTGATTTACACTAGGGTGGGCTGGCTGCTGTCTCCACGTCACAGAGAATGAGAGTATCAGGTAAAGACCAAAGCCCATTCTCCTATGATTGAGCCGAGGTGGCACAGTGGTTAGAGTGCTGTACTGCAGGCTACTTCAGCTGACTGCTATCTGCAGTTCGGCGGTTCAAATCTCACCGGCTCAGGGTTGACTCAGCCTTCCATCCTTCCAAGGTGGGTAAAATGAGGACCCGGATTGTTGGGGGCAATATGCTGATTCTGTAGTAAACCGCTTAGAGAGGGCTGAAAGCCCTATGAAGCGGTATATAAGTCTAACTGCTATTGCTATTGCTAAGTGGCTCAAAGGTTGACTCAGCCTTCCATCCTTCCTAGGTGGGTAAAATGAGGACCCGGATTGTTGTTGGGGGTGATATGCTGACTCTGTAAACCACTT